GCAGCGTGCGTACGCAGCACCCGATCCATGAAGCGCTGAAACATGGCCGGGACCCCAAATAACCCAAAGTGTGGTAAATTGGTACAAACCGTACGGGGTTGAGAATGCCCTTTTCTCCTTGGACTCTGGCGACAGAGGAATCTGCCAGTAGCCCTTGGTTAAATCCAGTATTCGTGAAGAAACGTGCAGTGCCTAGCCGGTCCAGGAGTTCGTCGAGTCGGGGCATTGGGTAGGCATCGAACCGTGACACGTCATTCACCCTGCGATAGTCCATGCAGAACCGTACAGATCCATCCTTCTGGATGGGGCTGCACCAGGCACTGTTGGACTCTTCTCTTACCCCCAACTCCAACATACTCGCCAATTCCCTCCGAACCACTTCTTTCTTGTGTTCGGGCAACCTGTAGGGTCGTGACCTAACCGTCACGCCCAGGGGCGTCTCGATACTGTGTACTATGAGGTCGGTCCGGCCTGGCAAGGGAGAGAACACATTAGCAAACTGCTCCTGCAACCTGGCAACATCCGCCCTCTGGCTCCCTCTCGAGGGAGGGCCCCAGCTCCTCCCTTTCCGATACCGTAGAGACCAGAGAGACAGACTCCACCCCCCTGCAGGCTTTCAGGAGGTTCAGGTGGTATATCTGTGTACCCCCGCCCCTGTCAGACCGCACCACCTCGTAGTCGACGTCCCCCACCTGCCGTGTGACCTCAAAGGGCCCTTGCCACTTGGCTAGGAGTTTAGAGTTGGAAGAAGGAAGTAATACAAGTACCTTTTCTCCCGATGTGAATCGTCGCAGCCTGGCCCCTCTGTCGTACAGTCGTTGTTGTCGCTCCTGGGCCTGCAGCAAATTCTCTCGTGACATCCGGCCCAGTGTGTTTTGCTCGCAGGTCCAGGACGTACTGGATCTCATTCTTGCAGGGGTTTGGACCTTCCTCCCAGTTTTCTTTAATTAGGTCCAGCACCCCTCGCGGCGTCCTGCCAAACAAAAGTTCAAAGGGAGAAAATCCTGTGGAGGCCTGGGGGACCTCCCGCACTGCAAACAACAGAGGGTCAAGCCAGTGGTCCCAATTGCGTTCATCTTCGCTAATAAATTACGGATCATGGACGTCAGAGTCTTATTCATACGCTCCACCAGCCCATCCAACTGCGGGTGATACACGCTAGTATGAATGGACTTAATGCCCAATAACCCGTAAAGTTCTCTCAGTGTGCGCGACATGAACAAGGTGCCCTGGTCAGTCAGAATCTCTTTAGGTATTCCAACTCGGGAGATGACCTGAAACAGAGCCTGCACGACGCTCTTTGCAGAGATATTGCGCAACGGCTCTGCCTCTGGATATCGCGTTGCGTAATCCATGAGGACTAACACAAAGCGATATCCGCGTGCGCTCCGGTGAAACGGCCCGATGAGATCCATGCCGATTCGCTCGAACGGGACCTCCACGAACGGCAGAGGACACAATGGCGCCCTCGGAATGGCCGGAGCGTTCACTAACTGACATTCCGGGCAGAATAATAATTTTATGCCTGGCCAATAAAATTGGGTCATTATCCGGTCTAGCGTTTTTTCGTATCCCATGTGACCAGCCATCGGGTTATAGTGAGCCGCCTGGAAAATCATTTCCCGGCGGCTTTTTGGCACCAGCAACTGTTTTCCTGCCCCGTCCGAGTGTCACGACTCACTTTATACAGTCTGTCCCTAATCAATGAAAAGTGCGGAAATGACTGCGCTGCGTCAGGGCGCACCAGATGACCATCAATACGTATCACTTGGTCATAGACTGACCGTAGGGTATCGCCACGAGACTGTTCGAGTGGAAAATCTTCCATGGATCATAACTCGGGAGCCGGCGGAGTCTCTACGGGAGGCTCCGCGGGTTCCCCCTCCCCGTCTGCAGTGTCGGACGACCCCGCGTCACCGCTGAGCACAGCACACATCTCGCATAACTCTGTCGGTCGTGAACGCACCCCCGCAGCCCCGCCCCATTAGCTTATCAAACCCCGGCCAATCTGTACCCAAAATGACGGGCTGCGTCAGGCGGGATCTAACCGCGACCTTCATTCTATGCTTTTTCCCCGCATATCTAATTTCCACCGATACCACAGGATACTCGTGAACATCCCCATGCACACACCGTATTCTCACCCGGTCTGCCTCCACCAATGCGTACTGCGTACAACCCGAATCCACCATCGCCTGGCGTGTACCTCCCTGGATTCTTACCGGAATGCGGTACGTCGCTCCCGCCTCCAGAAACGCCTGGACGTCGTCCTCCGCCGCCATCCGGTGGAGCGTGAGACCGGTGAGCCCTGCGGGCCTATGCATCGCTGGCGCGGACGCGGGGCGTGCGGCCAGCTGTTCCAGCGCTTGGGCCTGCCTCCCCACCTGGGCCTGGAGCGCCCCCAGGAACTGTCGGCTGACCTCTGCCTGCTCCCTCTGGAAGGCCGCCAGCTCTCCGATCATCTGGCCGAGCACCACATGCGGGTGGGCCGGCATTCCCAGCTGGTGTCCGTCATCCGCCCTGTCCTCCCCCAAGCCACGTTAGCCGCCACTGTGGCAGGTTCGACCTATGGGGGGGTCTCGGAATGACGAAGATGCAGTCGGTTCCATTTATACAGTCTTTATTTTATGCTCAACAGCAGCACACAACCGGCTCCAGCCTCCTCGCCTCAGCACCCCTGCTGTTGCCGGATCTCCCCTTCTTAAGGACAAACACACACAACAATTAATCCCACCTGAGGCCAATTATGCCTCCTCCTGGCACTGTTCCCCGAACCACTCCCTTCTCCGTCCCCTCTGCAGCTGAGCAAAACCACGCCCGCCACCACAGAGATACACTTGGGATCTTGCATGACTTGTTTGTTGACTTGTGTGTCCAATCAAGTTTCAAAGTTCTCTCAGATTAGCAATATACAGGTAACCCGATTTGTTTATTTACCTCCCAAGTTCAATGCCTGTGTGTCGTGCCTGAGATACGGCTCTCCTGTGGTGTATTTTTTAGTTGCTGTTTTTTAGTAACCTGCCTTGAAGGAACACGATCATGCTGCAGCACAGCTGCACCAAAATACAGAATGTCTCAAGTTTTTTAAAACTAATGAAATATAAACTTGGTAAACTATCAACAAACAAACACCAAAATAAAGGTAGAGGGTTAGGGAGGAGGAAGTTTAAGAAAAGCCTTGCGCAGTTGATGAGAGAGAACAACAAAGCCTTTACTATGGATTTTTCAACAAATCAATCATGGTGCAGGATGGTGAATAACAACAAAAAGCAGAGGAAGGCCCTTGCAGTGTGGGCGAGATGCTCCCTTGCCATTTGGTCCTTGGTGGGTTTTCAAATAAAGGACCCATGTTCTTTCCTTGCATGCCCCTGGTTAATTCCGAGAAAGGTGGAGTCATTGTTTATATATATATTCCATATTGAGGTGCACCAGTGATACCAAAAAATGGGCTCTCTGGTACACAAGTACACAAGTTGTACTGATGCAGAGATGCAAACAACTTGCTTTTTGTTTTTGTCACCCAACATAAGTCCTTGTTGCCGGTCAAACGGACAACTACTACATAGATGTACATGTTTACATATAAATGTACATGTTTTTGTATAAAACGGGCTGAACAATCAATCAATTGCAATTTAAAAATGAAATTTTTTAAAATTGCAAAGTCTGTTGTCAAAGGAACAATGTTTATCTTCTTCAATACTCTATTGGCCAAAGGAAGGGAAACCCTTTTGCCCTGTGGGCTTCACATGCCCAGACGCTGCCCTGCGCTTCGTATGGGAGTAGGAGTAGATGAAGAGAAACAACTTTTAAAATGCCACACAACGCTTTGAAGCTCTCAGAACCACTGTGCAAATTCTGCAGGAATGATTACCAACAATGATTTGAATTTTCTAGATATTTTAAATAGAGTAGTAGATCAATTAATCGGTGTGCAATTTATGTTTGTGCAATTTATTACAATACTGCTCAGAACATTTGTGATTCATATTTGGTTTTCATGAATTAATATTCTACTGTGATTGATGGTTCTGGCAACCAATTTCTGACTGTTCAATATCTAAATCAAGATTTCATTTGACCATATCAGCAGGCCTGTTCCACATGAAGGAGCAGTTCATATGTTGACTGTATCCAATGTTGTGTTGGTCAAACTATAGATTAATTTGTTGCCTTAAAGAGAATAATGCAGAATGAACTTTGGCAATGAACTTTGCAAACCTTAAAACAAAATTGCATTCTGAATTGAATGTGTCATTGACAGGAAAATACTTTTTTAACAGGAGGCAAACTTAAATGCATGCCATTAAACAAGTAAATGAATGAGAAGGGACACCAATAGTAGCGGTATAATTACTAAGACATGTGGAAAGATCATTACAGGTAGAGCTGAAATTCCTGGCGGTCCCCTAATTGAGGTCTAAAACGCGATACTTTAGCCTGTAAAGCCGATTCCTGTTGACCTCACAGTGATTCCACATTGTCCTGAGGTCTAGATGAGGAAGCTGCAACTGCAGCGGTTCGGTCTGCGCTGTACAAAATGAGATATCAAATGAGATCAGATATTTGGGGGTACTTTCACTTGAACAGTGATAACTTTGTTAAGATCGATGGGTGGAGACGGCTGAAGAAGCATGTATGGATGATAGCTCCGCTTGTTCCCCTCTGCCATCATCTTTGTTCACACAATGTTAAAAGGTCACATGAAAAATGCATGAATGTGGCTGGAGGATCTCACCACTCGTGCATGTGGAAGTGACTGTGGACACACTGTCAGTGACAAGGAAGGATCGGAGTAGGCTAACAAAGTCAGCTAGTCAGCTTCCAAGGAAACACCTGATTCGCTTTTAAATGGTTGACTGGAAAGCTATTGTTTTTTTATTGAATTGAATCATGAACGTGTCTTCTTAAAATAATTCATTTGTATTCATTGGTATTATTTATATATTTTTCTACCATATGCATTGACATACTATTATGTTCTCTGATCCTGTCACCAGCGGTCGCGTGAAACCATTGCTTGGCCGATTCAGTGAGCTTGAAGCCCTGCTGTCCAGCATGAACATTAAGCCAGGCAGCATTGATGCTGTCCTGTTGGATGCTGGCTGCTCCTCCATGCAGATGGACCAGGCGCAGAGAGGCTTCGCCCTCAGCAAGGACGGGCCCCTGGACATGAGAATGGATGGAGACAGGTACAAAATTTCTTGTTGTGTCTGGCTGATGAATCAAAATTGTATTAACTCTTAATTGCATTAACGAGACTTGATTAAACACGTATTTTTTCTAATCCATAGCACTAGATAATTATTGGTTGAATTGCTCCAGTGTTTATTGTAGCACTGATTAGGAAATGCGGCTACTTAAAAAAGTGAAGCCAATATGAGCTACCAGTCACAAAGTCTAATAGACTTATTTTAATGTTTTGAGGGGAATAATAAGTGAATTACATTCTCAATAAACAATCATTGTTATTTGTAAAACATTGAAACAGCCATGTTTTCCTGACAAGCAACCTCTTGTATGTGTAATTACAGCTGTTCTTCCTTAGATGCAAAGGCAGGATATTTGTTATATTTTTTTAATTATTTAAAGCATGATCTGTTTTGTGTCAATTATGTCAATTACATTTTTTACAAGTATGTAGATAAATGAGGATCTACTGGTATACCATAAATACTAAAATACTATAAACCAAGTTATTGCTGTCAGTTTTTGCAATTTAAAATGAACAGTTATCAGTCAAGCTTTCCTCAGAAGTTACAATATTAACAATACATTAATTAAAAAAGTACCTTCAAAATTGAATCCGAATACTACCATTATTAAAAAAAAACATTGAATCATATTAACATGTAGGTCCATATTATCAAGGTCTGGTGTGTAACACTATAAAAGATTGACAATGTAATATAAAACCCTGTTGCAGACATGCAGAGTCATGCATATCCTTCTAAAGTCTGTGTGTGAAGAGAGATCAATGGATAGATGGATGGATAGATACATCAGTGTGTGTGTCGAAATCTAAATGTGTGTATATGTGTGTATATATATGTATATATATATATGTGTGTGTATATATATATATATATATATATATATATATATATATATATATATATATAATGTGTATATGTATATATATATATATATAAATATTTTGTATATATCTATATAAATATCTATAACTAACTAAGATAACTCATTATAAGCTATTGCAAAATCTCGTTTCATTCCCCCACAATCCTTCTATTCATAACTGTCAGCCATAAAGCTTTCAGCTGTATCTCACAGTTGTCAGAATTCGCCACTGTCAGCAAGGACGTGACGTCAAGCAGCTTAATTGGGCTTCTCTTTGTGCGTAGGTACCCCGACATGCCCTGTGCTGCTGACGTAGTGAATACGTTAGATCAACAGGCTCTTGCATCCATCCTCACTGCATATGGGGAAGAAAGACACGCCAGGAAAATAGCTTCAGCCATTGTGGAGGCACGCCGTGTCAACCCCATCACCCAGACACAGCAGCTGGCCAGCGTGGTGGCAGGTAGCTCGACACTCCCCTGATTAATTCCCCGCAGCATTCTGGAGGCTACGAGGGAAAATAAAACACGAGTGGAGTTATCAAGGCTGTCTCCCTGCAGGACGTATTTATTTGAAAATTACGTGGACCTTAGTCAGTGTCCTCTCCCCCGTCTCTGTTTTGGGTGCCTTTCTTCCTCATCCTCCTTTGAGGGAGCTGACAAAAAGACGGAGCTGGATGTGGCTGCAGCAGAATGTGGCTCATGCCTTGAAAGCAAACCGTGTTTCACACATACAAACGCATCTCTCTCTCTCTCTCCCCATCTTTTCTTCCACATTGCTTTTCATTTTTCCCCTCCATTCCGTCTCCCTTTTTTTGTGACACAAATGCAAACACCCTCACATGCTCACACGCATGACACACGCGTGCATACAGCTGGGATTACATTGATGGTCTTGCCTCTGATTGTTTTGTTTTTTTCTTCCTTTTAGCCGTTTGCCTGTTAGATTTTAGCTGCTGAAAGAGGGAGATGTCTTTTCAGTAGTTGTTGCGCGGAGCAGCATGTGCGTCAGTGTCACCCTGGGAGAACAGGTGTGAGTAGGAGCAGCTGTTTGATCTTTCTTGAAGAGCAAAGCGAGTCACCACCAATGTTTATTTGAAACAATCCAAGAGGTTTTGATTTAGGAAAGTTCCACGGGGCCTCTAAGAACAATGGGGTCATTGATGCTGACAAGAACAATTTAAAGTCACAGGAGAAAAAAAACACAGTGGGACGTTCTGGTGGCTTTGGTTTCCCTCTTTGGCTTTAACATCAAAAATGCTTAATTTTCAATGTGAAAATAAGTGCAGCAAAGATAAGTGCAGCAAAATGTGTGTGTTAATACATTTGCAATAACTGGGTAACCCTGTCACACTGCATTTAGTTGTCTAGAGAAGCGTGACTCTGGGAATGAGCTGGATTTTCAAGTTGTATTCACACCTGGAGCCAAATAATTCGTTTTTTTTAAAGAATTTAAGTAATTCTCCTCTGAATTAAAAATCTGTCATCAAATAGTTTCAAGTATAAGAATATGTGGGCGATAACTTTATCCGACCCGTTAGTTTGTTTCTCTCTACAAAAGTCGTCCCTAAAATATTCAATATTAATCCGCTACCGGCTTTTGACCACACGTGTGAACTAAAAAAAAAACCCGTCCCCATTGAGACACACCAATGGCCAACAGCCTTGATGTCAATGGAAAAATCCGATAGCTATTAACTTCTGGTTTTACAGTCAAGGGGCCTAAAGGGCCTGGAATGGAAGGCAGAGCAGCTTCGCTGAATTCTACCCAACGTGTAACTGGAAAGGAAAGATTGTTTACTTTGCTGAATGCTGGCGACCGGAGTCAAGTGGGCTTCACTTGACTTTACAGCACCAAATGCATTCAACACAACAACCCAATAAATGTCATTATCCCCTTGTATTTAATTGTGTGTGTGTGTGTGTGTGTGTGTGTGTGTGTGTGTGTGTGCTTGAATAGCCAGTGGGTAGGACACGGATGCATTCATTTAGTGATTGAGACAAGCTGTTACATTAATTTCGACCTAGTGCAACAACATTAAATTGGGTGTGGTGATCTACTTGAATTAACTCAACATTAGCACATCACACGGCTTTCACTGCCTATTTAAAATGCATTTAGCAACCCAAACAGGTTTAGAAGAGTATTCCAGCTGTTAGTCTCCCCAGCAAGGCTCAGTTGGTTCAGAAACCAGACCAGATGTGTAGTCTCTGCAGTGTGTTTTGGATCCACCACAATGCGTCTCAGCAGTTTGACATACCTGTAGAACATTTAGGATGGGATGCCCTACAGGGCGATGAGCTCAGGCATCCTGGGCCTCAGAGGAAACGGGTCCCCTGTATCCTCCAGTCTTAAATGTTTCATGTATAACTGTTGTCATGTGAAGTTTCACAATATACCAATATATGGTCCATAAGGTAATATTGGCTGCATGCTTGTTTATTGTTTAGAGCATTCTTTTCTTTTCCTCTTTTTTTTCTCAAATGTTCTCAGGTATGTTAAGTGCAACAGTGTTTGTCGTCCGTCATGAGGCAGGAGTCAATGGTACAAATCCTTGATTTGACTAACGTTACGTTACTGCATGAATGACTAACAAGCTACTTGCTTGTCACCTGGCACTTAACTAGCTTAGCGGCTAGTTGTTGCTGACTAGCGGTAGCGTATTCCCAGGTAGATGTCATGTCACCATGTTTGCTCACGAGCTAGAGCTGCAGTGTTCTGAGCAAATACTCACACCAGCGTTCAGCACCACCCACTTGCTGAGGACATGTAACCGTGTCACACTGTGCAGCTTTCTGGTGTAACTAAGGACGTTTTTGGTGAACCCACTTCATTCTATTCAGTCGGGAGGTTTGGACTCAAATGAAAACATTCCAACTAGACTACATCATCGGAGCGTCGTCCCACCTCGTTTTTTCAGCATCCCCCTGTTCCGCTCCTTCTGTTGTTTTGAACAAACTCCTGCTTTTTGTTCGACCCGTGACACCAAAGCATCAAGTGACGTTGTCCAAATATGTCATTGTGGAATGTGTGTATGCTCTTGCCTTTTGTTGGTTTGCACTACAAACATCCAATGTACCAATTTATAATCCAACATAACACAAAGCTAAGAACTTAATTCTGTCTGCTGTCCTATGTAATAATGTACATTCAGAGTGCTGTTTCCCACGTTGCTACCTGATTGCTTCTTTATATGCACTTGTGTTCTCCACGGATGTGTCTGTAGGACCTTTGAAAGATGAATTAGAGAGAGGGCACATGGCTCGTTGAGGCCCAAACCGGAGCTGCTCCTTGTATTGATCGCAGTGTGAGTCACACCTTGGGCTGTTTAGTGCGGCAGGAGAGAAATGCCACATCCCTCCCTTTTCTATATATTGCAGTTTATCTTCTGGCCTATATAAGTGTCTAATGTGCATTTGTCTTCCGTGTGGGGGTTATGAGTTGTTTGAGGCGGAATCAACATGTTGTTTGTATCCACATACAGATCCGTGGGTCTTTGTATACTGGAATTGTATACAAATCTTGTATACAATTCCAGCAAGGGTTCTGGCGTTAACCTTCAAAATGAGCAGTGTTTTACAGAAAAGAATTCATAGCAGCAAACAATTTTCCTTGTGAAAACAGTGGAGCAATGTCTGCCTGAGCAGTGAAGGATGTTGCTTTTAATTTGTGCGCATGTTGTTATCCAAGCTTCTCCTCGCTTTGTTGATAAAGCCGGGCCGGCCAGCACAAGCTTTTAGTGCTTGTTCTTGCATGTGTGCGCGCCTCACTGGTAAGCTTACACTTTATATGGTGCATCTGTACTTTTGCCTCTGTTTGTACTGCAAACGCTGTTAACAATTTTAACAACGAGCCGTCATTTCGCCCATGCCATGTTGACAACCGTTAAGGAGCAATCGTAATGCTCCCAATCTCATATCTTTTACCTTTTAGTTTCCACATTGATTGACCTTTTTGTGCTTTAATCCTGGTGCATTCTGTACCATGCGAGTCATTCATTCACAAACACATGTTATTTGCACGTGCTTTATGAGGATCAGTCAACTAATTGCATGAGCTACGAATAGATCTGTATGAAAAGTTCTCTGCCTCCTAAAAGCAAGTATTTTAGTAGAGAACGGTTTTAATGAGGCAAAGGGAAAGAAAGTAAGAATTAGTGCACCTGTAGAACAGCAATAATTACAAAAAATAACATTTTAGTGTTTTAGAAACAGCAATCATGGATTGTTATTTTTTTCCTCTTGCGCTCAGCAAGAATTTAAATGGAAACATGGCAACAAGCTGAGAGATCATGAGAGGCATTTGGTTGCATTTACCTCCGTGCTGTGGAGACACATCGGCCCCATCGACACCATCTCCACCCTCCATCTGCTGCGCATGGCGCCTGTGATGGACCTGTTGCTCACACATTCCTGCTGCAGCTCTCTCCTCGTCTTACCTCAGCTTGTATGTATTTTCAATCAGCTTCGTTTTGTCCGGCATCCTGCTACGTCAATTTATCTCTTTTTGCATCTTACTTTCCTGATTCAATGACTAATCTTGAATTAATATAAGGCGGAAATTCTGATTATTATCAGTCAATTAGAAAATATCAAAGTAACTTGTACGATATTTGAGCGTGTTTTATTCTGCAGACAGATGGACCGATCTTGGGTATATTCTGTGTTAATTGGACGCGGCTAGCACCTGGCGGTTAGGACCATATATGAGCGGTTCGGTCTCACAAGAATGGAGGTATGGAGCGGTGATTATAACTGGTGTGACATTCTCCAGCCGTGTTCATGGATGGTTGTTTAAGTTTTACACCTCCCTCTTCCTTCAGATGATCTCTCGTGTATATTGCTAAACTCACTGTAGCGTCACTCGTTTTTTTTAGTTTTTTTTTAGATGGATGTAGACTTTGTAGTCTTGACCTTCAGAGTTGAACCTCGTGAGCTTTTTCAATGATTGTTTTGTCCCTGTGCATTTCCTGCTCCATTCGGATTGGGTATTGTATGACATTGCCCTTCTGGTGTTTTAGAAAACTGACATCAACTATGCATGGTAAAGGTTAGGGAAAGATTGAGGTTATAAGAAGTACTGCACATGATCCGAAAAAACAAACATTAGTTGATATTCAGAAACTGGTTATGCACATGAAAGTCACAGATTGTAACAATCTATCCTCATTTATACAATACAATACAAATGTAGTGCCAAGGGACACTGGGCTGTTCTTTATTTTGGAGGATGCGTTTTCAAGGGGCAGTCAGACTGGAGATGAGCTAGACGAATATAATCCCATGGTAGGACGTCATACTGATACCGACACACAAGTACACAAGTACAATTACAATTGATTAATTTAAGTCACAAATAATCATACAAAAGTAGAACAATTATTTCAGCAGGGCCAAAATGAATGATGCTTTTTTAATGAATGAAGTATTTTAAGTAGGAAATATTTATAGCATCTCTTGCACATTTTCATTCTCATAAATGCGATATCTCAGGAACCGCTTGAGTATTTGCATTCAAGGTAGAACTGGTTTGAATTTACTAGTCAACTGTAAGATCACAAACCCATTTTTGCATCTTCACACAAATAACTGATGCTAAAGTAATGACATTTTGGACAGAGATGAAGGTAAACTGCAACATGACTGGTTGTGGCGGTAATTCTAGAGTCTCGTTTAGATTGAGCATCCGGTCATCACCCGCTCACTCTGCCCATCTCTTTGCCTCTAGGATCCTTTCCTGCAGCTGTTGTCCATGCACGTAAAGACCGGCTCCAAAGACCTGCACACGTGGCCACTAAGACTTTCCAAGCTCTGCGTATCTTTGTGAACGATGAGCTAAACGAACTCCATGCGGGGCTGCGCGCCGCCCGCTCGGCGCTGACCCCCGGAGGACGTCTCTGCGTGATCACCTTTCATTCGCTAGAAGACAGGCTGGTAAAACGTTTCCTCCAAGGGGAGGACTTGTCTAATCTAGATCACTTCAGCCCGAGGAAGCAAGGCAAGAGGGACCTGGTGGAAGGAAAAAGAGATGTTGGAAGCGTTGATTGGCTTCCTCTGCGTAGAAAAGTGATCATCCCAAAAAGGGACGATGTGAAAGACAATCCTCGAGGACGCTCGGCCAAACTGAGGGCGGTGCTCAGACGTTAATTATGTGGCGACAATTAAGACAGAAAATCTGTAACTTTTTTACAATTGTTACAATAACTCCAATTTGCTCGTCGTTACGCACAGATTTTCACTAACGTGTTCCAGCAAAGACAATTGGACTGGTGGGATTCCACTAAGGGTTGCCGCTCTTGACCCCGCATGGGTGGATGGTTGGTCGGGCCGCTTCACAGTGGGAGGTCAAACCTGTGTAAGAAAACGAACGGATTTCAACGCAAGGTGCCCGGTGTTTGCCGCACCCTGCGTCACAAACGTCTGCCTTAGTTATTAGCGACAAAGACTCCTTTTGCTTAGAAAGGGGGACTTTTGGTGGAAAAGGTGTAAATTGGTTACGGCTAAAATATACACAAACACACCGTGTATTAGTTCTAAAAAATGAGTAAGCTTTTTATGTACTTTCTTTCTATACGTGTTACTGCACCAGTCTGTCGTTCTCTCTTCTTGCCTTACCAAAACCCCTAAAGAGAGCCGGTCTGGTACCTGGTTGATACCAGAAAAACCCAAAACACATATAAATGTTGTCTTCTGGCGTCTAAATTCAAAAATGTATTGAAGTTTTATTTATTTCACTTCAAGTTCGACAGAGCATTGACGTTGTATGACACTGCGTTTGGGCGAAGAATTAAGAGTTATTGATGTGTGCTATTTTAATAAATTGGAACGGCTTGCTTTGCCAATATTTGATGGCCTATTAGGTGGTTATTGCATCTCAATAGTTCAAAATATCTAACAAAAACAAACCCCTGTTCGCATCTACGTCTCTATTTCCCCACGACTTCCTTTGACGAGTTGCACAAGTGAAACCTCTGTACCATATGAATCGGTAATGCCGCTAAACACTGAATGACGCAAGTGTCATAGTGGTGCTGCATGATTGATCTCACCTTCAACTGTAAGCAGATAAGGTGTTTTGATCTTTACTATTTGACTTTGGCTAATTTTAATGGCTCCATCAAGATCATAAACACCTTCTCTCTTCTGTCTCAGTTTAGTGCAGTCTAAATATATCCTTTGCGTTACCTTGGAAACTAAATGGCATAAGTAACATTTAACTGTGTTTAAAATGATTTTCTGTTTTAATCTAGTACGAAATGATGCCATATTGTGGGTGTGAACGTCTCTTCCTATTGGCATCAGTGGATGTGGAATATGTCGAGATATTTAATCCTTTGGAAACTTTTCTTCTTTAATTTGAGTCAAATCTCTCTTACCATTTTTGGTAAGTAATTATCCTGCAACTTAATCCCACACTGATGCGGTAAATTGTGTGTACAGCACTTTTTTTAGTCTTCCTACCACTCAAAGAGCTTCGGCGGTAATCAATCATGCATTCACACACGGATGACTAGTGCCAGCATACACAGTGCCACCTGAGGATCGAACCGCTGATCCCGATTGAAGGACGACCCTGCCACTATTACTCCTCAGATGGTCCCGTCTAATACAAAGAGACAAGGACAGTTTCACCACTGATTTGTCCGCGTGTCCCAGAAGGTGTAACAGGAACAGCGGTTGCTAATCCTGGAGGATTAAAGTCCCGCTCCCGTGTGCTCCTGTCGCTGCCCGGTTGTGTTTTGTTTTTTTCTTTAGGTTTGGTTAATCACGCGTGCATCCACGGTTACATAACTTATGTTAAATTTCTCCTGTTTTGTGGCAGTAAATACCTTTTAATTTGCCACCATCCTATGTGTGACTGCAGGAGGCGTGACACCCGGGATGTATAATAATCGTTACAAGTTAATGTATGTGTTGAGTGTCTGTATCTGACAAGTTTCTGAGGCACCAGTTCAGCATCTACAAACGCACACACATACATTACCTACAGCAAGGAACTTCAAATGTCACTTCAGAGTTAATAATATGTCCTCATTACAGTAACATCTTGACACACCATCACACGTGAAGAGTCAGCGTCAGTTAAAGACTCTGTGAAATATCTGGTTCTGCTGCATAGAATTGAATCTTTTTTGAAGAAGGATGAAAGTTGTAAATGTACTAAATGGAAAAAAATGAAAAGAAGCATTATTACGGCAGTAAACCACTGTAAGCTATTTAAAGATGGAGTGGTGTAATGTTTTGTACTAACTAGCTAATGGCCACCGCTTGTCATGGACGCTTAACACTCACGTTCACCCTCAAGTTACACTGTTAATTAATTGAATATTTTAATTTTCTGCAACTTCATACTTGCACTCTACGCTACAATTCATAGACAACATTTCAGTGGCTTTTCCCTTGACAACTTTTATTTGACAGCCAACGTTAGTGCTTACTATCTAAAGATGGCAACTGTTGCCACAAAGGCTTTACTGAGCTTATATAAAACAGCCCTGATCCTACAAAGGGATTTATGTTACCATGGTTACAAAGTACATTTTAAAAGTACTTTTTCAATGTCAACATAAAAAATATATAGTATTTTGACATTTGGTACCAATATATAATATGTGCCTCAGATATTGAATGTTTTATTGTAATATATTGTCACGGTGTAAGTGTGCAATAAGGGGTCATATCTTCTTCATGTACTACACATTTTTGCTTAAATTTATGTCTAAAATTTTAAAACAACGGTTGTTTGTTTCTAAATGAAGGATAATATCAGTGATTATAAAATGTTATCTACTACTGCGAATTCTCAATTGCCATGGAAACCGCAACCTTGGTCAATAGTATATATATTGTAAGACGATGCTATTATTGTAGACTTGGAACAATCCCAAAATAGACTACTAGGTACACAGCTAATAGCTATTGTTGCTGAATCATATCTCTGAAATGGCATCAAGACCCAGTGAGCGTCATCAAAATGGCTACAAGCGAACATGCGAGGGATTGAAGCAGATGAAACAGATTAATCCTTCTTGTTTGCTGTCAGTACGTCAGTGTGATTCAGGATAAAGTAATTCAATAATAATTCAGTAATAGTTCAGCAATAATTATTATAATTATATTACTTTTAATTTAAATTTATAATAACTATGAATACAGTAAAACATATAAGAGAGTCAAAGTCCCACATAATTTTGCCTTTTAAATTTGATTCTTTTTTCTCACTATTTTATTTGCCTCATCTATGCTAATTGTCATCTTAACATAAAATCCAATATGTAATATAAGGGGCAGAGAAACAGGTACCTGGTACCAAATACTGTAGGTAATTTTCATAATAATTCATAAATAACAATTTGTGTTAGAAGTCAGTACTGTAATTAAGCACAAATATGAGCTACACGTAGTTCACTTCAGGTTTTCTATTTCATGTCGCTTTACAGTTTTACATCCTTAAATGTTCAAATTTTTTGTTCATAACACTTGACATGTTAAGACAAAAGTTTAAAAGTAGTACATTTTCTATTTTAGATGGATGTATACATCGGCTCTAACTGTGGTAATGATTTAACTACCCAACACGATATTAAGCAATTTACAGTGAAATGCTCATTAGACCTTATCCGATCATCATTAATGATCTATTAACATTGACAGTTTCAGAAGACCTTCAACCTTCATGGCACACATTTCAATGCAGGATATTGGACATTAACAATAGAGTTGAAATGCTATTGTTCCTTAATTTTGTGACATTTTGGTATTCAAGCATTCAACTGCATAATTCTTTTCTTTTTTTCTTCATTTTGAACATGTGAAATCCATTTACTTCTTCACATGAGAGAGAACTGTACAAACAACCGGAATCCAAGCCGGATTTGAAAAGGATCGATTGACACAAGGTAAGAAACAGTCTAAATCAAAATTGAGTGTTTGGTGTTTGTTTTTGTTTTTTTGGCTTTTTTTGTTCTATGACTAACATTTCAGCTTCTCGACTGTGAAAATGTCTAGTTGGTATGTCGTTGCTTTGTCGTATGTAATGGTAAATGGTATATGGTATATGGTATATGGTGTATATATATATGTATATATATATATATATATATATATATATATATATATATATATCTTGTATTTTACTGTTAATCAGAGTTAACGAAGGTAAATCAGGAAATATCTTTCAGATTGATTAACAAATAGAAACAAAAGCAAAACACCCAAATAAAATACTCTGAACCACATACAAAGCTCCTGTAGGTTCCTTCTGACAGCCATAGAGAGCCTCTCTGACTGCCTTCAAGCAAACACAAAAACACTGCAACAACAAACGCTTACACAGACTGTGTGCTATATTTGATTATAACATCAGGTTGTCATCAATTGAATTTCACTGTTTACTCTCATTCTGCTGGACACCTTGACGTGTGAGGTGGCGACATTAGGGGAGGAGGGAGGGTAACCGAGGACAACACCTTTTTGAGAATGTAAATGTATTCAGTCATTAGAAGTAATTAAAAAGGTCTTAAAATCTTGCACTCCTTGATTATATATTAGGACAAAGACCAATATTTTTTTAGGTATTTCTCGTAATCGTGGGGTTTAAGATGATGTGAGATGCATACCTGCAGAACATTTAAAGAGGGTTAGGAGTTAAGTGTGATCCTCTAAAATCATCTGCAGGGAAAAAAGAATGGCTGTCGGTTAAAGCGCGAAGCAATAACTCAATGTTGCCCCCCCCACCCCTCCCCTCAAAAAATGAATGACTATGCGCTACCTCTGGAAATCCATCTACCTCTGAGCATAGCGTTCTGTAGGACTGTGACCATTAGCTGTCTGCGCGAGGAGAGAGACATGCGTCAGCCTGTGGCTTCCCATCTGACAGACTGAAGAATGTATGAGTTTCACAGCGTTGCAGAACAGACCGAGGCGGCCACAGAAAGCTCATTTTATCCACATCTTTACTCCCCTCCCTCCTGCTCCCACTCCCCATCCATCTCTGCTGCTCCGCCTGCTATAAAAAGAATTGTCACTGAAAAACGCCGAGGTCAAAGCCATTTGAATAATTTTTGTGATTGACGCAGGGCCTGCAGGTCTCATACGGAGAAGATCCAACTGAGAAATAAGACGGCCATGTTGGGTAATAACGCAATAGTGCACAACCAGGACCACTACTGCATTTTGATGACGTTCAATTTGGAATTTAGTGCAGGAGATTAAAGTGTGACATTGAAAACATTCATTACAAGTCCTGCCTTCCTCCAAGTTTACCCAAATATTTCACCTTTTATGTGTCCAAAAATGAATGTTGGCTGTACATGGCATCCTGAAGCTTGAGCTGGTCGCAGCGCCTTGGTTACGTCTCACCCATCATCAGAGCATCTTGCTGTGTCAGGTAGTGTGCAGGGTGACCTGATGTCAGCTCACTTACTCCACACTCTTGAGCTGAAGGAGACACAACACCGCCTTTCTTTCTTTCTTTCTTTTCAGTGTAGCAAATCCTGCCCCAGCCAAATGGAGGGGGTGACGGTCATGTGAACCACGGGAGTCTGCAAACGTGCAGTCGTGATAGAATGTAAAAAATGCAATTTGCATTTAATTCAAGTTTTCATACATAGCTGTTGCTCAAATAATATGATTGCAAAACCAAGTAGAAAACTATATCTTTTATTTTTCGTTTAGTTGTTTTGAGGAAGAATCACCAATCGCTCCACACAGATCTGTTTTCATCTCCTCAGTGAAGCAGAATATTCCATTTAAGATCCACGGGTCACGTTTGTCAGGAATTCCTCATCGTCTCCCTTTAACTTTTTTTTTTTTTTATACAACTTTTCTGCACTTTAAAAATGACTG